TATAATTTTAAGTACCATAATTTTCTTCCATGTAATCTGGTAATAGTAGCTTCTATACATTATTTTATGTTAAAAAAATGCTATTGTAATATTTTTTGTGTGGAAGATAAAAAAACAAAAGAAATCATGTTGATCGGATTTCTTACCATGTATTCTTCTAGAAGACATTTTCCTGAATTTTCTGTGATTTCCACAATTTTCTGGTAGTGTCCACTCTTTAGTTCTCTCATGTCTCCACAACAAGGAACAATCATGGAATTAAGATTGCTACATGCCTCATGGTCAAGTTGTAGTGAACCTGCGTGGCTTTCTTAGTTAGATACTACTGTCAACTTTTCGTCCAGTATAAAAGAAAGAAATGAAATGAAACAAACTTATAACCAAGCTTAAACTGAAAATGTGAGTATAGAAGAAAGAAAGAAACTGGATAACTTACGGTCAATGGACGAGAGGAGATTCTTGCCTCCAGTGTCTGCATTTTCAAAAGCAGTTGACACAGCAGAAGAAAATCGTCTGCGCAAGACTTGAATGGTGTCCATTCCTCCTCTAGAGTAAATATATAGCACAGCACATATGAAAAATAAGTAAATGTGCATGATTAACATTAAAGTTTAGTAACAAAGGACACTTATTTAAACAAACCTGACAATCTCATCCACAGAAGCAACATTTCTCTTCTCTAAGCTAAGCAAGGATTCTTGAGCATTGATCCACTGTTCTGCACCCAATTTTGCTTTTTCCATGCTGCATATTTGATTGTTAGCGTAAAATACCAATTAAAAAAATTCAACTACCGGGGAAGGTTTCCTAGTTATTGATACTATTTTTCTGGGAAAACCCTTTACCACGAACAAACTATAGAACTGATAATTTAGAAATGCAAAGTATTATTGAGACAAATGTACTTACCAACTCTGAAGAATGCGTTTCATATCTTCTTTCTCACTTGCTAATGAAGCTGTATCCTCGAGATAATGGGATTCAGCCTTCTCCATGTATGTTGTCCATTCACCTTTGATAGAACAAGTAGTGTCTTGCATGACAGACACCTCTTGTTGTAGTTTGTTAGTTCTACTGGCTGCATTTTCTCGAAGTCCAACAATTGCACTTTGAACCTAGGACAAAAAGAATAACACACACAAGATAAATAGTTGACCATCATCGAAACACACTTAAGATAAATAGTTGATCATCATCCATCTTGCACAAACCAACTTACTCAGAGATAGTCGTCACCAATCACATAATAAGTGGAACCAGAAAGGGTGTTGAACATGCGATAAAAGAAATTTAAGTAGAGCTATATTTTTGGGCTCGAAGGATTTATTTGGACTTAACACATTGTCAATCAACACATTTTGGGTCTCAGAGAATATTTTTACTACCCTAAAACATAGAGGTATTTTTCTGAAAATTAAGTCAAGAATTACTTTTTAGAAATGTAATTTTTTCTCAGTTTTTTGAGAAAAAATTATATTTACTTTTCTTTTTGGTCCACATGTTTGGCAAAAATTGCTACTTAAACTTAACTTTTAAGCTTAGTTATGTTTTGCAAAAATTGTTTTTCAAAATATCTTTTAAGCTTAGACATGTTTGGCTAAGCTAAAACTTTTACATTTTTAGGCTAAATTTAGCCGTTGTGTCCGAGTTTCATGCACAATGTTGCTTTTTTATAGCCCGACGAGAATGTGTTTCTTTGCCAATAGACTGATTAATTCTTCACTTTTCCTTATTATATTTTTCATTTCTTTTATATATCTTGATGCCCTTAGATAATGTTGCAAGCTGTTTGCAGATTAGTTGACGCTGAGGAATAATATAATTGAATAAATACTATGCATATCCAAGTGCAGATCCCTTAGTACGGGCCCTTACCAATTTTTTCTTCCTAGAATTTGAAGCAGCGAGCAGCTCTACTACTTTTTGTAGGAGTTGACTTTCTTCGTGGGCAGAACACTCCTACATTAAATTATACATCCAGAAAGAAAACGATAAGCATCTTTGCCGAGGAAAGCTAAAGAGAGTTTCAGATGGACGATTAGCCCAAAAAGAAAAAAAGAAAAAAAAGTTTGAGCCGGAGGAGCTTAATCACCTCAAATTTCTTTTCAAGTTCAGATAATTTCTGATCATTAGTTGTCTGTGCTTCTTCCACAATTTCCCCTAATTTTGAGGCATGCATATCTAAAGTCTTGAAAAAATTGACAGTAATTTGGGAAATTGATCTCGTAGTTGCAATTGCTCTGGTATATGCCTGGAAATTACATGAAAATGTTAACAAACTCCTCTTTTCAGAATGAAAAACCACAATTACTAGAAGTCTTAAAACAGTTTTCTTTCCAGGTTAAGCAAAAGCTAACCTCTCGTTGCTGTTGAGCATATGCAGTTAATTTAGTCTTTTGACTGTGCAGACTATTTTGAAGATCATGAAGTAACACAGCAGCCTCGGAACCAATTTCCTTGAAGAGCTGCATCACATGAGCCGACATCAATTAGAAGCTTAAAAGAAGGTTCTCCTTCACAGGGAAAAGTTACAAATTCTTACCTCTTCTAAAGCAGAGGAATGTTTAGAAACTTCTGAATTCAGGCGACAAAAAGTTGACCCCGAGTTACCATCAAGTTCCCCTGCCAAATCATCTAAGGCTTTGATACCACAACCGTACATTGTTTGCAGTTTTTCTAGGCGACCTCGGAGCTCTTCAGTAGCCTATGAGAAGCACACTAGGTGATAAACTGTGAAGTAAGAGTAACACAACAAGATTTCACTGTCTAAGTGAAATATACCTCAGTCTTTGTTG